TTTTTTTTTTTTTTAATGAGCAGAATATATTTATTGAGAGAAAGAATGCTCCTGCCCGAGAGAGGGATGGAAGGAGGGCCCGTGCGGGTTGTCCCCAATGTCCTCATCCCACTCTCAAGTCTGGCCCCTGACCTGCCCTTGACCTTCGATAACCTTTGACCTCTGATTTCTGCAGCTACACGTTTGGCAAAGTACAGGGCAACAGCGACCTCTATTGGAAGGCACAACGCTACAGCCTCATCCGGGAATTCCACTCTCGGCCTGCTCTAGCCCCGCCCCTCATCGTCATCTCCCATGTGCGACTCCTCATCAAGCGCCTGTACAGGAACCGCCGCTCCCGCTCCAGCGTACCTTCCTCTCCCACTGCGGAGCACTTTCGTGAGCACCAAAATCTGGCCTTCAGTGGGCGGAGCTTGAGAAAAAAGGAGGTGGATGTGGGAGGAGAGCACGCAGGACTGCTGGGTGTGGTCACGCTGGGCGGGGCGTTCTCTAGGCCCGCCTAGGGGCGTGGCCTGCGAAGTGCTGGGAGGTGCGGGGTTTGGAGTGGGGCACCCCTGAGAATAAGGGGCCCTTTGACTCAATGGACCTGTCCACCAGGTGTCTACCTCTCCAAGGAAGCCGAGCGGACGCTGTTGACGTGGGAGTCTGTGCAGAAGGAGAGCTTCCTGCTGGCCCGCGCGCGAAACAAGCGGGAGAGCGACTCCGAGCGACTTAAGCGCACTTCTCAGAAGTGAGGGCGGGGCCGGGGCGGGGCTTCTGGACAGGGCGGAGCTGTGGCCAGGGGGAGGAGACTTGGGCGGGGTTTGACGTGGTGGAGGCGGAGTCTTGGGTGGGGCTTCTGCTGTGGGCGTGGCCACCAACCTGAGGGCCCTTTTTGTAGGGTGGATACCGCCTTGAAGCAGCTGGGACAGATACGGGAGTATGATCAGCGCCTAAGAGGGCTGGAGCGGGAGGTGAGCATGTTGGGCATGGCTGGGGGGCTGTGGCAGCTATCGGGGCAGTGGGGTTCCATTCTGCCTCGGTGTCCCTCGCTCCCCAGGTCCAGCACTGTAGCCGTGTCCTGGACTGGGTGGCTGAGGCCCTGAGCCGCTCGGCCATGCTACCCCCCGGTGGGCCACCGGCCCCTGTTCGGCCCGGGTCGAAAGGTCAGTGTGTAGGGCCTGTCGGGCTCTCCTGCACCTTTGCTTCCGCTGACTCCCCTCGTCCCTGGCCCTTCTCTGGTGTCCTTTGTACCTTCTGTGCTGCTTTTCCTGGGCTCCTCTTTGCCAGTCTCCTGTTGTTTCTCTTCTCCTGTCTCCTACTGGAGAGGCGACTTCTCTCTTCCCTGCAGACTGAGTGCTGCTGGTCTTCACGGAGTGGTCCCACCCGTGTGCCCACGACCTCGTCCCTGAGCTGGGCCCCAGGCTCCTGGACCTCGGTGTGGACGCCTTGGGGAGTGTCACCCATGCAAGCTTCAGCAAGCCCGGCTCCTCCTGCCCCAGCCCCGCTCTGGGAGGATCAGGCTGTGCCGCCGCCGAGCTGCTAGCCCTTGAAGGGACCTGCCCCAGTGGGGGGACACAGGAGGGTCGTTGGGGCTACAGGGACCACTGACTTTATTCCCAGCTTCCCCACACTGGGGACATAAAGCCTTTGAGATCAGTGGCGTCTGTTTGATCCTTTTGGAACTGGTGGGTGTTAGGGTTCACCTGGGAGAGGCGGACGCTAGATCGGGGGTCCTCGGACCTTGGTGGCTGGGCTTCTGTCCCTCCTCCTGCCTGATGCACACTCCAGCATCTTGTCTGTGCTGTTCTGATGGTCTTCACCTTGGGGGGGCAGGAACTCATTTTTGGCACACATTGGTTTCTGTTTCCAGGGGGAAAATAACTCACTGATAATCAGCAGATTATTTTCTGGAGAGGGCTGGGTGGGTGGGCGCTGGGTACATCTGCCTGGCACTAGGCAAACAGATGATGCAGATTTGAGAAGATAAATGCATATGTGTCTTTAAGAAGTCTAATTAGTCGAAAATTGTAGGCCACGCACACATGGAGTTGAGGCAGATATGCATCATTATACATGCAATTTGACTAAATAACCCATAACAGACTAAACTGGTAATGACAAGGCTGAACTGACAGCAATTATTAGTTAAATAGCAAGAAAGCCACCAACAGCCAACACATCCCAAAATCCAAACCAAAACATCCTTCCTCCAAATTGGAAGCTTTCCAACTGGCTGCCTCTTTGGGTGCACAGTAGCTTTGAAACACTGCCAAGTGTGGGACACCCAGACTTCTCCCAGAAACGCTGAATCAGGCCTCACCAGCCCAAGCGGTAACAATCGCGGTAATGAGGGTGGTGGGATTGCAGCGGCAGTGATGTTGCAGAGCCGGGCTGCGT